ATTAACTAATAATTTAAGATCTAGTCCATGGCATTAAGGATTCAAAGACAACGAAAGGTGTTACTGCTTCACCAAACGACAATTTATTGAAGCTAAATTATTTTGTACTTTTGTAGAGTTTAAACAACTTAAGTTCAAATATAAATCTTAATTTAAAAGTTGAAAGTTCGAAAGGAATGAAAAGTTTGAATACTTCATTTGTCTGAGTTATTCCGTAGTCTCACGAGGAGACACATTGTAGAAAACTCAACTTCTTGAAAAAATCTAAATTTAAGAACCGCTGTATGAATTGTAAATACCAATGATGGACTGAAAAATTTGTCAGTGTTAATTTTTAAAGTCAAATATGATGCGTCTTATGACGAAAAAAAAACTATTTTCAAGTTAGAAGAGTTTGAACAGTAATGAAGAAACAATAACAAAAATTTTAATTATTTTATTGAAATTTATTGGTCAGTGATCTTAGAAAAAATTTGTATTTTTATACAATTAGTTTATAGTCCACATATAATTTGTTTGGACTGCAACTTCCAGGCTTAGAATTCGTGCCTGTCAAATTAGATACTAATCGTGTTTTTTCACAAGTAGCCAAGGCTGCACAAACTTTTAATGCTCAAGTTCCAAGATTTTTATCAATTTATTTGTAAGTGACATTAATCAAAGTACTTACCATGTTTTTTGAATTAGAACGAGCTTATAAACTACAGCTTGGAAACTTGGAACTTGAAAATACAAGTTCAACGAATTGAAAGTTATTTTTGTAGTTGCCTATTTTTGTTTTAAAACTGTTCTTTTGTAGAGACAACTGTTCTCCATATTTTTACTTTCTCTATGTAAAGCGCCTTTCTTGGGTGCAATTTTACACAGAAGTTATGCAAATGTTACTCTTCCATCTAAACTAAAAGTCTTACTCCAAACAGAGAGAACATTAAAATTCATGTAGGATTTTTTACTGCCCGCTAGTTAGGGTACCATATCAACTATATTGTCCTCTCAATAAAGACTGTCTACCACTTCAATGAAATTAAGGATGAAGCACATACTCTGTGAATGTCCAAAACTAAACAATAGTAGACTCAGCTTTTTTGGAAAAAAAACGAAACCGTTTTATATGTGATGAAAAGTGGATTAAACATGATAATGATATAGGGAGATGTTCTTATTAAAATAAAAACAACAAAAACATTAAGTTAAGCAACCAGTTAAAAACTTGGTATCAATGATAAGGACGGTAATTCTAATGGATTCCACAAGTATCATCCATTATGAGTATATACTCCGATTGGTCAATTTCAAAAATTATCTTGAAGATCTAATTGAAAATGTTTTTATTTACACTATAAAAAATCTACTTCTAATATCTAACCATATTTTCATAAAATAAATTTATTTTTCTGTTCTGTTCCCCTCTCTCCACTGAATACGACACTAAGTGTCAGAAAAGTGTTTCTTTCAGTTGTGTTAGAGTAGATTAATATGAGTAGTAATAAAAATATATGCAGCAACTATGCAATTACAAAAATAATGCACAAAAACGACCAAAACTTTGCAACAACAATGATGTTGTGTACTGTATAAGTTTATATGTAAAAAATGTATTTCAGTTGATACTCGTAATGGAAAATAGTAAACTATATACTGAATTTTGAAATATTGTAATATAAATACTGATTTGTAACATCACTATTTTTTTGAAAGGTTTATTAACAAGAAAATAAGTCATTATTTTCATGAGCATAGTTTCTTTAGTACTTTATACTATATTTATATGTATAGTAGAACTATCGAACCTAGTTACCGTAGCCTATTTTTATGTGAATTTTATGTGGATTTAGTATTAAAAATGGCTTATATTGCTATGTACTGGCCGAGGTTATTGCTATAGTCTAAACATAGCTTTACTTTATTAAATAATTTTAAGAATACTTTTTAGGAGGCAATAAAGTTTCAAATAGATTCTTCTAGAAAGCTGGAAACCATTAAGTTTTTAGTGGATATGAGCTTATATTTTCCATTTAAATCAAATAAAAATCAATCAAAATTATATGAAAAAATTATTGGCCGTTAAAAAGCACAAATACCCCGTCTCGTTTTGGACTTCAGCCGGCAGCCAAAATTAGCAAAGTAAATTGCGCACGCATTTGCCGTTCGTGCATAAAAAGGCACTTGCGCAGAAGCAGAATTGAGTTTGCCAATTATCACGACGAGGTGTGAATTCCAAATGTAAATTTTTCAATTATTTTGTATTTCAAGAAATCATTAAAAATTATACATAATATAAGTAGCTCTTAGCTATTTTTAAACCGCTCATCTCATATGATTTTTCTTTTCTCATATTTAATGCTAATTAGGCAAAAAAAGAAAAAAAGAAGAAGCAAAAAATTAAGGAAAAATTTAACAAAATAGATTTCACATAAATCATTTTATACGTCAAAAATGTTTGTAAAACACAATAAGTTTGTATTAACTTTTGACATCAACCCATTTAGTTTATAATAAATTACCGGAGTATCGCCATATGAGTTTTTTTTCACTTTTTCATATTAAAATCATAGTTTACCTAACGAATTATGACTACAATAATTCACACAAATCGTAGATGATTTTTTCTTGTTTTTGAAATTTGTTGCTGTAATGAAGCACAACAGTCAAGTTCGTGTATCTCAAAATGTGTAGACTCAAAGTTTGCGATACATTAGAGCTATTATTGCATGTGGTGGCTTGAGACGCCTAGACAAATGCTTTTTTTTTTTTTTGCAACTGAGCTGATGTTAACATCTCACCATTTTTGTGTATCCTACATGCGTGAAATAAAGAATTTTACGATAAAATCATCAAGCCTAAAATTTGAAAATATCTATTGAAATTTGTTAAGTTATGTGCATTGAAATATGGCAAGACTGGCTGCATTTTTCATTTTAAGTGACAATTGTGACGATGCCGTCAGCGCCTTAGGCAATATTCTACTCTGATTTAAGATTTTTTACTGCTTTCTGCACACATAAAATAAATGAGATATAAAAATTAATCAAAAGTGCGTTGCTGTTGCAGATTTAATTTAATTGAGCGGTACACCAGCGTTTAGTATGCAATTTTTTCATAAGAAAACATGAAATTGTCTTCTCTGTTCCAGTTTCCTAAGAACTTGTTTCGTTAAACTCGTAACAATGTGCTTACGACATATATACATACTCTTATATATAATATATAGTCTATATTTATATTCAAGTATGGAAGAATTGGTTTAAAATTCATTAAATTCTTTTTCACACACACAAAAACAAGACAATAATCCAAAAATTCTGCGAAATTAATTAACAAATCTTTTAATTAATTAATAAAATTATAAAATAAAATTATATATAATTTATTTATCAATAAATATAATGATGTATTAAACAGAAGGCTTTAGTAATATTGTTTAGAAAAGCACAATGAAATACTGTGATCTATAAAACAAAATATATTGTGCTATCCTTGAAGAAACTTTCATATTCGAATCCGCATAAAAGTTAAGATATTGGTAAACCTTATTATCATCACAAGTCATATAGTTTCATAAAAGTCATTGAAGTCGTAAAAGTTGCTATCATATTCTAACCTGGACTTAAATTAAACTTCACATTAAAACCTTACCCTAAACCTTATATCCTTTGAAATATGATTTGGGTCGTAATCGTATCTAATATATTTTTATAAAACTCATTGACATCATGAAAGACGCTATCATATTCTAACCTGGACTTAATTTTAGCCGCACATTAAAATCTTATCCTAAACCTTATATCTTTTGAAATATCATTGAAGTCATAAAAGACGCTATCATATTTTAACGCGTACTTAAATTTAACGCTACATTAAAATCATACCCCCAAAACGTATATCCATTGAAATATCATTTGGTTCATGTCAGCACAAGTCAAATAGTTTTATAAAATTCTAAGAAGTCATGAAAGACGCTATCATATTCTAAACTAGACTCAAATTAAGGCTACTGTTAAATTTTATATTCTTTAACATGTCCTTTGGTTCATGTCAAGTGAGCTAATACAGTTCTATGAAAGTCAGTGATGTCATTAAAGAGAGAACGGAACATTGCGACCTGTAATATCAAATATATTGATTAATCTAAATAATACTCACATATTTTAATCTAGGTTTAAATAAATGGTTTTGTTGAAACTTATATCCTTTAACATATCTTTTGGTTTATTCTTATGTATTCTTCTTATACTTCTAACCTCTTTCTGTTCTGCAAAATATTTTATTTTTGTCTTTGGTTCATTCTGAAGTACAATTTCTATTTTTTTCACCTCTTTTGGTGAAAACATATATATACCATATATCTATATATACCATATATCTTATATTTGCTTAAATTACTGGATTGTGGATTATAATTTATTATAATTATTTTGTTTGGTGTATTATAAATAGAATTAGGTAGTTGTAAAAATGGTCAAAACTTTAAACTAGAATAATATAAATCTACATTTGATGTTTAACAGGGTTCAATTTCTAACCGAAAAAATCAAAAATTGTGTTGGCACAAATAATATGTGATGCGGGCGGATATATATTGGTATCCGCAAGAGTATGGTCAGCTAAAACATTTGTTACAGATCAAAAGTTTTCCACTATAAACTATTTCTTTAGTTTAGAACAAGGAACTTGCCACTGCGATATTAAATACTTAACAATAATAATAAGTGTAAACACTTAATAGGACACCAATTAATCCAACTTCTTTAATAGTTGGATAATAGTTATATTAACGCAAATAGTTAAAATTACTCAAACAAAATTGCACAAAGGTTCTATTCTTAATTACATTACTGGTGATATTTAACGTGATTTATTCACTTCTTCCACAGGTCCTCAACTTTCTATAAAATAATAAATAAATTGCAAAACTTAAAAGGAAATAATAATAAAAAAATAAAAATGTTTGAATCAATTTTAAGTAAACAATTCTGTCTTAAAAATATAAATAATTAATTTAAAAAATAAAAATTAAAAAAAGTCAAATTATTAAGTAAATTAATTGTAATTACTCGTTATCTATATGTGCATGCGTGTGTAGATATTTTAAAAAAGTTCTCAGCAAAGCAGAAAATGTCTATTTGTGCATATCCACCTCAAGTGCGTATCTATGAGGATTTCGATAAGATGAGTGCGAAAGAAGTGTATTACAACGAAGCCGGCAATAAGATCACAGTGAAATTGTTGCACTTTCCAGATATACCACCAGAAGAGGTGGATAAAATTAAATTCGAAGATGATGATGTAGATATGGATAAAATGGATATAACCGCAAGAATTGCTAATAGCAATGAAAATTTAAATGGCATTGAACAAGCAATAGAAGCAGACGAGTTTCTCAATGCTAACAATATGGCTGCTGAAGAAGAAGCTGATGCAGAAGATGAAACCAATACAAATTCACATGGTAGCAGTCCTAAAAAAGTCTTACGAAAAAAATCTTCCGGTAGCTTAACTCATGCACGTAAGTGTAGTATGGCCTTTGCGCAGGCGCATGGTCTACAACAAGAACCACCGACTATTTTGGTGCCTACGAAAACTGCCACTTTAAATATGGATAGCATGGCTATGGATACGGATGCTGGTGTGACCATAGGTCGTGTAGCTTTACGCCGTCAAATGCATCATTTACACAGACGTTCACCATCACCTCATGGTAATGGTAATAACACATTTTCACCCGGTTATGTGCAGTATTCGAAGTCTTTGTTGGAAGTGCCTTTGCCACGTGATTATGGTTACGCTTCCAGTGATGACTTGAGCTCCGAATGGGATTCTGATGTGTCAACCAATTCGGCAAGTCGCGGTCTAACGCAAGTTAAAAAGGTGAGTTATGCATTGTCATGCTTACAATTTGTCTGCTCACATTTTTTTACTTTATCAATTATAAAAATTTCTGTTAAGTCAATGTCGGATTATACCGTTCTACACATTTGTCAAGTACCGCTCTGTTTTGCGCTTAATTACCTATAATTAATTTTAAAATTTTTTTTCTGTGTCACGATGTCAGTGACGCCATCTACAGTTCGTTCGCTCATATAGTTATTTTTGTCTTAACTTGTAACTTGTTTCTCCATGTTTGCAATACGGGTTTCTTTTTATCAAATAATTTATTTAAAAAAAAATAATCTTATTTATCAGTTATTGTTGTTGTTGTTTTTGTTGCTGATCGTCATGCTCATGTACATTTCAACTTACTTTACGCACTAATTTTTCATTTAATTAAAATTAAAATTTTAATTCGCTCTCATTCATAAATTTTCTTATTAAATTGTTTTGAAACGCGACTTGCTTTTTAATTTTTTATTTAAAAAAATAACAAAACAAATGTATTTTGTATTGAAAGTAAAAAAAAAAAATTATGTTTTGGAATAAACTTTGGTTTTGTTCGAAAGAGTTGACATAGGAAAATGTGAACCGTATTTCGAATAGGCTTTAAGTAGTTAGCAAAGATTGTA